CCCGACTGATGTTTCTACCGCGTATTTGATTGAAACTTGTTTGTTATCGTCATGATTTGGGTTGATTGCCATATTTGGGTTTCGTGCCAATTATTTGAACCCTTCGGGGATTTTTATCACTATTTCCTCATTGTTTTTGAATTATTACTTGAACTCAGTCCTGTTGATATCTACTGTTTTAGAAACTCAGCCACTTTTACTCAGATTTGAAACTTAAATGATATTTCTAAATGATGTTTTGGGCTGAGAACTACTGTTTTACTAATGCCCGAGGGGCTTGTGATGATTTCGAACTGAGTGAGGCCGAGGGCCATATGTGAAGCTATATTGAGTGATATGAGGCCGAGGGCCTGAGATACTTTTATATGCCAAGAGGTAGCTTGAGTGATATGAGGCCGAGGGCCTAGATTTGATGCCACGAGATGGCTTGATATTGCGCTTGGGCCGTAAGGGGCCCCACCCGGAGTTTGCACACCCCTAGTGAGCGCGAGTACCCGTTATGATCACAAAGTGAGCTCGAGGGGCTGAGAGTGTTCTGAGAGTGAGCGCGAGGGGCTGGTATTCTTCTATGTATTTACTTTATTTCCATTTGTCTGCCATTACCTGTTGATTGTGTTACTTTATGTGTTATCTTTCTGATTGCCTGTCATTACCTGTTAAATTGAGTGTTGAGCCCGAGGGGCGAATTTCTGTGCTTATCTGCACTTATTGTTTTGCATTCATTTGCATAACTATTGAAAAAGCCATTTTCAAAAGAGGTTTAAACTGAGCGAAGATATTTCTAAAGATTTCACAGCTTCACTGTTTTTTCTCAAGGGTTTTACATCGCTTCTATACAACATGTTGGTTTGCTTTACGTGATTTCTTACTGCTCAGTTGTTATTTACCTTTGTTACTCACTGAGTTGGAGTACTCACTTTACTCCCTGCACCTCGTGCGCAGATGCAGGTATTTATTTACCCGGTAGTGGGTGTTGAACTGATCGGAGGCTGAGTCATCGGAGTTTAGCAAGGTGGCTGCCAGCGTTCGCAGCACCACTCTTCTCCCTTCTCTTTCATCAGTCCTGTTTTGTACATTCAGACCTTGTATTCGTATTTATACTCTAATAGATGCTTGTGACTTGTGACACCCCGGTTTGGGCTGTGTCGAGATGGTTTATACTGTTGTTATTTCCGTAAATTATGGTTATTATATCATGTTTTAGAACTACTTATGGTATTTAACTGTTTAAAAAAGGTGGTCTGTTTTGGTCTGGCTGGCCTTGTCTTCACGAGAGGCGCCATCACGACCGGGTTCGGGGTTAGGGTCATGACAACTCACACCTCAGAACCCGTCAATACTCACAAAATCTGAGAACCCATTCAATTACGAGTCCAACCATACTAGCTTCACTCAAATCCGACTCCGAATCGATTTTCAAAACTCAAAAATTCACTTTATGAAACTTTAGGTTAAAACTCCCAATTTTCTCTTTTGGAACCCTCAATCAAATGCCAACAACAAAAATAGATTCATGATATAAGATAAAAAATGAGTAGAGAACAATTACCCCAGCCCACATGGTGAAAATTGCTTCAAGAGTCGCCTCAATCCGAGCTTCATTGCTCCAAAAATGCAAAAATAGCCAAATCCCCCAAAATAGAGTACTTTATACTCCTACCCTGGCATCCTCTTACGCGAACACGGAAAATCCATCGTGTTCGCGATGAACAAATATGATCTACCACCAAAAAGCACTACGCATTCGCGATACACGCCACATGAACGTGATGACCATTGATTCCAAAGCTTCGCGAACGTGACTCACATTACGCGATCGCGATGAAGAATTCCCCAGCTCCCAGCTTCCAAACCTCAACACTTCGCGACCGTAGTTCCTTATACGCGAACTCGGATAGTAACCCCCATGACCCTACGCGAATGCAGCTACCCTATCACAACCACAATGAAGTAAATGCCCCAACTCCAAGTTTCTTTTATGCGTTCGAGTACCCATCTTCGCGATCGCGAAAGACAATCGAGGCACTAGAAACCAGCAATAACCAACAATGAAAACAGGAAGAAAATGGTCCGAAACACGCCCGAGCCCCTCGGGACCCTGTCCAAACTTACCAACAAGTCCCAAAACACAACATGGACCTACTCGATTCCTCAAATCACACATAAAAAGAACAAAACAAAGAATCACACCCCAAATCAAACTTGATGAACTTTGAACTTTTCAACTTCCATAACTCGTGCCGAAACATAACAAAACCGACCTGGAATGAACCTAAATTTTGCACACAAGTCCCAAATGATATAACAAAGCTATTCCAATTCCCGAAACCACAATCCGAATCCGATATCAAAAAGTCCACTCCCAGTCAAACTTTCCAAAAATCCAACTTTCGCCATTTCAAGCCAATTTCAAATATGAACCTCCAAATCAAAATTTGGACGCACTACTAAGACCAAAATCACCCAACAGAGCTAATGGAACCATCAAAACTCCAATCCGAGGTCAAATATTAAAAAGTCAAACTTGATCAACTCTTCCAATTCAAAACTTCCTAGTTGAGAATTATTCTTCCAAATCAATTCCAAATAACCTGAAAACCAAACGGACGATTCACACAAGTCATATTACATCATACAGAGCTACTCATATCCTCAAACCACCGAGCAAAGTGCAAATAATCAAAACGACCGGTCATGTCGTTACATAATGGTTGACCTTTCGGAATATGAATTGAACTTTTAGGATATGAATTGAACTTTTAGGGTAATGGTTGAACTTTTAGGATATGAATTGAACTTATAGTTTATGTTTAAATTGAATGAATTATAATTAATTATATTTACTATTATTTAATTTTGTTGTAATTAGTAAAAATCAATTATCTTCATTAACTTAAAATGATTTAATTAATTTATTATAGTAGAATAAATTAAGTAGTTCTAATACTTATGGAAATATCTTAATTTATTTTTGTTTTATTTGTATAGATGGAACATCGTACTTGGATGTACAATAGGAATTATCCTAATCGGCGGGGATTGAGGGAGGACTTTGTAAAAAGGGTTGATGGCTTTGTTAGACATGTAATGTCACTTTCATCATACCAAATTGAAGGAGTAATTAGGTGCCCTTGTGTTAAGTGCGATTGTGTGAAGTTTAAAAAACCGGAGAAAGTTAAACTTCATTTTTGTAGGAAGGGGTTTATAGAGAATTACTTTGTGTGGACTAATCATGGAGAGATCGATAGTAGCCGTGGAATATTTCATAACATGGTTGTTGGTGAAAGTAGTAGGTCAGTGGAGAATAGAAATCAATCCTCTAGATTTCATGATATGGTTGCAGATGCTTTTGGGATGAACTCTGGGGGTGAGCCCAATGAAAATGTTGAACAAACTTCTAATGATGATGCAAAATATTTTTATAAATAGTTAGAGGAATCTAGTCGTCCACTATGTGAGGGAAGTCCGCACTCTGAGCTGTCTGTTGCGGTTAGATTACTAAGTATCAAATCTGATTGGAATATTTCTCAAGCGGCCATGGACTTTTTCATTGACCTTATGAGTGAACTAGTTGACTCAAATATTAACTTACTTGGTGATTTCTATAAGGCAAAGAGATTGGTTTCTAAGTTACGACTTTCATCGATGAGAATTGATTATTGTGAAGATGGTTGCATGTTATATTATAAAGATGATGCAAATTTGGAAAGTTGTAAATTCTGTGAAAAGCCTCGTTTCAAGAGGCTTTCCACTGGGAATATGATTGTTGTAAAGACAATGCATTATTTTCCTCTTATACCTAGGTTAAAGAGGTTATATGCGTCAATGAGTTTTGTTTCTCACATGAGATAGCACTTTGAAAATAGAAGATCACATGGTGTTATGTGTCATCCTTCAGATGGAGAGGCTTGGAAGCACTTTTATATGAGATATCCAGATTATGCTAGTGAACCAAGGAACATTTGGTTAGGTTTATGTGCGGATGGCTTCACGTCTTTATCTATATCTGCGACACCATATTCATGCTGGCCTGTCTTTCTTACACCTTATAATCTACCAGCTGAGTTGTGTATGACTAGTCCATATATATTTTTAAATTGTATTATCCCCGGTCCACGTAATCCAAAAAGTTTGATTGATGTATATTTGCAAACTTTGATTGATGAGCTAAAACAGTTATGGTATGATGGTATTGAAACATATGACATATCAACCAAGCAGAATTTCAACTTGCGTGCTAATTTAATGTGGACTATTAATGATTTTTCTACATATGGAATGTTGTCTAGGTGGATGACTGCTGGGAAGCTAGCTTGTCCTTAATGCATAGAAAATGGTAAAGCGTTCACTTTGAAACATGACCGAAAGCAATCATGGTTTGATTGTCACCGTCAATTTTTGCCTAATAATCATGAGTTTAGAAGGATGGAAAATGCATTCAAAAAGAATAAAGTGGAATATAATTTGCCACCTCCTATACTTTCAGATGGGGAAATTTGAAATAGGTTCCAGAACCTCAGTAAAGTTACTGAGGCTCCATCTTCTAGATTTCCTGGATATAGTGTTACTCATAACTGGATGAAACAGAGTATATTTTGGGAGTTGCTTTATTGGAAGGATAATCTTCTCTGACACAACCTTGATGTCATGCATATTGAGAAGAATTATTTTGACAATTTGTTTAATACAATGATGGATGTTAAAGATAAGACAAAAGATAACCCGAAGGCTAGAATGGACTTACAAGAATATTGCAGGCGACCTGAATTATACTTGCAAACAACAAACAATGGTAAGGTGTTCAAGCCCAAAGCAAGTTACACATTCACTTTGGAGGAAAGACGACAAATTTGTAATTGGGTTACGAAATTGAAGATTAGTTTGTCACGCCCCAACCTCAGGGAGCGCGACCGGCGCTCAACCAAGTGGACTCGGTCGAGCAAGCCTGTTATACTCTTTCTACCCAACTCACTTATGACCAAAAGAAGGCGCGTTTCCCATTAGTTTAAACAGTAGAAGGATCATACATATACAACATTACTGATTCATTTCATTTTACTACATCATTGTTAACTTCCCAAAATACATACACTTTACGATTTAGTGGAACAAGAGTCCAAAACACAACAAAATCTGTCTAGCCTTTCTAGCACCCATACACAACCTACATAATATCTACGAAGCCTCTAAAGATACAAAAGACAATTATGATAATGCCAGCGACAAGGCCCCGACTATACCTCAAAACATGGTAACAATATCAATAAAAGATACAATACATAACCCCGGGATGAAATGGGGCTCACCAGGTCTCCTGAGAAGAGGATGCACCACTAGCTGCGATCAACACTGTCTGCTATGGAACCACCTACATCTATTTTAAGATGTAGCGCCCCCGACAAAAGGGACGTTAGTACTNTCATGAGTTCAATAAGAGTTTCAAACAATACTAAAGCATCAAGTAAGGGTCACATAAGTTCTCAATCAATTTCCATATTATTTGGTTGGGTAATATTTAGTGCCATGTGCCACAATCCACAATACTACCGTATTTTTACATGGAGTACGATCTCAACCCGATCGGCTAGGTCATCACATTTGAGACATCAACCATATCCAGAATTTCAATTTATCATTTCCAGCACAGTTACCACCATGTGTGCGGCATGGCGTCCGATCGGCTAGGCTATCTCACTTGAGACATCCACCTTTCGATCAATCATCTCACTTCATATCTTTCCTATTTTTCAATACAATGGCACGAGTGGCCTCACTTATTAAGCCGTTTTTGGCACTTGGCCGTATTTTACTATTCAAGTTCCCCTTTTTACACATTCGATAACATCATCAGCAACAACAATAAGGCCTATCATGTAAGGAATTTGTACACATAAGGGAAAGACTTGGAAAATCCTAAGCACATAGAGGCCTTCCATACAAATTGGCATAACAACCTTTATTCGATTTTTGACATAAAATCTTAATCTTCTTAACATATATTCCACATTTTTAAACATATACTCAAAAGGGCAAGATGACATGATAAGTATTTTGTACAAATATTGAACATATATCATTCAACACAATACATTTGGGATAGTCAAATCTAGTATGATCAATTGGGGACTTACCCCAATTACACGAACACCAGGGATTTTGATTCTAAGAAGAATGGGGTTTAGACATACATACCTCAATTGAGTCTCTTAAAACTTTCAGATGTTCCAGAATTAGCAACTTCAATCTATTTTAGCAATATAGCAAAATTGAACCCAAAATTAGGAAAAATGATCGTAATTCTAGCTCACTTGAGTATTCTATCAAACACTTGGTGTGCATTAAGGTTTTATGGCCCCTTTTATGAAATACTACACCAACCAACACCCAATTCTTTTACATCTTTTACTCACAACCTTCTCACATACCCTAAGAATACATGCATGCAAGGTAAGCACTCCCATTCCCATGAATTACCTTTATTAATGGCCCATTCTAGTTACATATTGAAATTAAGAGTTTGAGTAATGGAATCTTACCTCTTAGGAAGAAGACCTTGGTGCTTCTCTTGATAATCTTCAAGGTTTAAACAAGAATTGAGGAGTAATTATGATAAAGAACACTTTCTCCCTCTAAGACTCTCTTTCTCACTTTAAAAGTCCCAGAAAATCGGCTCAAAATGAAGTATGGCATGAGATATATCAACATAGGATCGAGTTTGAAAATTAGAAATTTGGAGCCCTGACACGGATCTGCGGTCACATATGCAACCGCATAATGGTTATGCGGTCTGCTAAATGACCGCGAAAAAGGGCCCTCAGGGACTTGAATTTTCTGCCTCGGTCTGTGACCAATATGCAGTCGCATAATGCACTGCAGAACCTCCCTTCGCAAAAGTACAAGGACGATTATACGACCAAAGTGTGCCCGCAAAGTGGTTAGGCAGTCGCATAATTGGCCGCGAAACTGACCTCAAAATTGGCCAAAAAGACTGCCTCACTCTGTGGCCATTTTGCGGCCCGCAGAATGATTATGCGGTTGCATAATAGACTGTAGAAACACACACTTCTGCAAAACATTTTCCTTTAACTCTATAGCGTATTGTTCACTCCAAAAAATCCGAACCGCAACGAGCTTGTGAGCCGCGAAGAATTTCAACAATCTCTAACAAATAACTTCGCACCACGAAATTCCGATTTTTAGGAATGAGGGTTATACATTGAATCTGGGAAAAAGTAGATATGGAGGTAGGGAATTTGAGACATTTGAAAAGTCATGACTGTCATGTTTTCATGGAGACCTTAGTGCCCATTGCATTTTGCGATTTGCTTGAAAGAATTTGGAAACCCATCACAGAGATTAGTTTATTTTAAAAGGACTTGTGTTCTACCACCTTAAGGGAAGAAAATCTACTTCGGATGGATCAGAACATTCGTGTAACTTCTAGTAAGATGGAAAAAATATTTTCATGTAGTTTCTTTGATGTGATGGAACACCTTCCAATCCACCTTGTACACGAGGCACAACTTGGAGGGCCTATTCAATGCAGATAGATGTATCCCTTTAAAAGGTAATATTATAAGTTTGATGTATATTTTATTTTAATGCTCTTGGCTAACATGACATTATGTAGGATAATTGGAAAATGCAAACAATTTGTTAAGCAGAGGAATAGGATTGAAGGATCAATATGCGAAACCTATCCTGCAAAGGAAACTACACATTTTTGTTCTTATTATTTTGAGAGTAACGTGCCATGTTCTAGGAATAGGCCCAATAGGCACATTGTCGAATGCATGAATGATCCATTATATCCATCAATGTCTATCATCAATCAACCAGACCGATGTTCTATAGATGTTAGAAAGAGAAGTTTGAGTGATATGGAGTACAAGTCAGCTACAACGTATGTGTTGCTAAATTATCCCGAAATTTAACCATTTCTTAAGTAAGTATTGATTTATTAGTTATCAAAATGTAAAATTTACATTGATTGCATATTGATGCAACTACTAAAAATATTTGATGTGTCACAGTCACTTCGTGGGTCAATTTAGCCATGATGATGGATATACGAGTTTTGATACGTGGTTCAAACATTTTGTAAGTTTATCATGATATATTCTTCTAAATTTCTTGCTATATATATCAGTTATGCTAACTTATGAGTTTTTTAACACTATGTAGGTAAATAATCCAAATAATGGTGTAAATCATTTTTGAAAGATATATCTTGGAGACCTGGGCTTCAGGTCACAACAATGTCTAAGTACGTAGTGAATGATTATAAGTTTCATACAGAGGATTGCTCTAAGAATAAAAATAGCAACAACAACAACGGGGTGTGGGTTCAAGGTGGTGAGGGCAACCAAGTTGGAGATATTGATTATTATAGTGTGGTCAAAGAAATATTACAACTAGAATATACAGGTTGGCCATATAAGAAATTGATACTCTTTAGATGCAAGTGGTTTGACCCAAATCTAATAAGAGGTAAAAAAAAGTACACCACCAATACAACATAGTTGAGGTTAATCATACGAGGGAGAATGATCACCATGATCCTTTATAATTGCACATAACGTTAGACAAGTGTATTATGCTCCTTATCCATTGCGGCGGAATAAGTCCGATTAGTGGGTTGTAATCAAAACCAAGCATGTAGGTAAGGTGGAAGTTGAGAATGTACTAGATGTTGCATATCAAAACAATATCTCCAGTGTTCACCAAATAGTGGATGATCAGTTAGAAAATGATTTGGAACATCCTGAACGCATATTGGAAGAAGTTGATATAAATGAAGTAACAGTTAGAAAATGAGGACAAACAATCAACTGATGAAATTCAAACAAGTGACGACGAGGAACAATACATCGACGAGGATTAAAAAGTTGGGTTTTTAAAGCACTCTCGTGTTATAACTAGTTTCTTATATGTTTCAATCTAAATATGTATTATATTATGCAGATGACAGGCAAGGGTCAAGGTAACAATGACCGTACTAGTTCTCGGGGTCTAGAAAAAGCTAGGAAGGGAAAGAGGAGGGTATAATCTAGGGATAATACTACTATCTCATTTTCACCCTCTTCAGAGATGCCTATGTCTTATCCTCCACCACATGACTATACTAAGCTGCCACAGCACCACGAGGCCTTTACCTTCATCCAGACATCGAGTCTTCCATCACATGGCCATAGAACTATACATCCAACATACAATCCAGCTGCCTCACAGGAACGTAGATCGTAGCCATCTACATCACAACCACGTGGATCATAGCCATTTGCATCACAACCACGTGGATCACAACCATATGCATCACAACCACGTGGATCTCATCCCTACATATCACAGCCACATGGATCACAACCATCCATATCACAGCCATATGTGTCACAGCTATCTGTATCACAACCACATGGATTGCATCCAGCTATGTCGCAGTCACAAGGATCGCATCCATCTTCATCAACGAATCCATCCATTTTAGTACTTCGCCTGAGAGACCGTAGCTCTGAGCCCCCATCTAGACCATCTACACATGCCTCTGATACACATGCTGAGGATGATGATCCAGAGGTAGTGTATTATGATCGCTATGGCAGGATCATCATAGTCCTTGAGGGTAATGTGTAAGAGTTATTTGTTATTTTTGCGTTTATTGTTTTATAATATTTTTACTATTATTTTCATGTATTTTTATTGTTAAATTGCAGGTTCAAGCCGGGTAAGCAGACTACAAAGATAATCACCAATGCGATCAAAAAGCTTTATGATGACCCCTATGCGACTTGGAGTGATTTTCCATACTCGCTGAAGCAGCAAATTTTCAACCAGTTTAAAGTATAAATATTCTTTTAAGAAGTTAAATAATTTATGTTTATGATGTTTTCATATAATATTTAACTTTTGAAATGTACAGTAAGTGTGTGTGGGAAGACCGCTATAGCGAGAGAGTGGCTGCAAATTTTTATCTTAAAGCCCGCAAGAGATTGGCGGATCATTTCTCGGATAGTAGAAAGAAGAACAAGAGTCCTGCTGGTGTCTGCAACATTTATGGGATGATTTATTAAGGCAATGATAGAATGATCAATTTTTACGGAAGAGGGAACTAAGGAAGAAATCTCGCTTATCCGAGAAGGGAGGCTCCTTGAACATTGGGGTGCTATCAACATCAGGACAATAAGAAGAAGAATGGTAATTGCTTAAATTAATACATCTTTACTTTTATAAGTATATCAATTTTTTATTGACCAAATTAATTTATTTTTAGGAAAAGAAGTATGTGCGTCCAATGCATCATGATGAACTATTCAAGGAGACACATATTTTAAAGAAGAAGAAAGAGAGGGATGGAGATAGGTGGGTCGAGGACTGGGCATAGACTACATATGTAAGATTTCAATGTTTATTAAGTATTATAATTACTTCTATAAGATTTTTTATATACTAATTTAATTTAAAATAACGTAGGGTCGCTACTAAAGTAACGTGGAAGACTTTATTCGTAGTCAGCCAGCTAGTGAATCGGGCGAGCCAACCCAACCTTCAGACAAGGATGCTAAAAGAATATGGTTGGAGGATGTTGGCGGTCCAAAAAAGTGGAAGGTATACGGGCTTCATGAGAAAACATTTCATCACTATAGGTGTGGAATGCAAGAAATACGGACTTCCTCACAGGCCGAGGCACTTAATAGGGAGAGCCTCTCGGCTATGCATGAGACAGTGAAAAAGCTTACATCCGAGATAGAAGTGGCCAAGGAAAGAGAAACGCTTAGAGATGCTCAATTCCTTGGCATGCAAGCTCAGATCAGAACTCTCCTTTCTACTGGAGCCTTTTTGTTGCCTCGGTCTCGTGAGTCCTCGCTAGAGGCTCGACCTCCACATGATCGTTCCTCACATCCTCCCTATCAGCGTTCCTTCCGTCCTCCCGGTGACCGTTCTTCCCGTTCTCCACAAGACCGTTCTTTATACCGTCTTGTAGATGAAATTTCATCAGATGGTGATGATGTTGTAGAAAACAACCCTTGACCAATACTTTGATATACTTTGAACTAGACTAATAGAACTAGTTTTGAATTAGATTGAATAATTTTGAACTTGTTGTAATTACTTAATTTTTGCTTGGTTTTGAATAATTGTGATGTTTAATTGAACTTTGTTAGTTTTAAAGTATTATTTGTATGTTTGGTTGGATTTGTGGTGAATTAGGAGTTATTTATGGTGAATTGGGGGTTATTTGACGTGAATTGGGGGTTATTTGATGTGAATTGGGGGTATTGGTATGCTATTTTTATTTAGCAGGTGGTGTAGCTACCAAAACAGGCATTTTCTGCCAAAATTTATCCCAGAAAACCTACCGACCTTGGTCTATAGATAATAAATTTTTTTTAATGCACATTGAATTCCTAGAAATTCAAGATTGCCGACCAACTTTGATCGGTAAGTTGGCTGCCATGTCCAGTTTACCGACCAACGTCGGCCGGTATTATTAAATTTAATTATTTATAAAAAATATAAATTTTCTGGTATCGACCAACGTTGGTTGGTAGGAAAAATATTATAAATTAATTTATTTTTCATTGCCGACCAACATTGGTCCGTAAACAAAATTATTAAATTTAGAACACCGATCAATCTTGGTCGGTAAAATTAAATTATTAAAATAATATTCTGACCAATATTTTTCGATAATTCAATTAAATTGTCAGATGGTCGTGTAGAGTATACCCACCAAAGTTGGTCGGTATGCTCTACCGACCTTCAAAATACCAACCACATGCAAATGGTCGCGGTTTGGATGGTTATTGGCCATTACCGACTATTTTGGTCTGTTTTTAGGACGGTTTTATGCAAATTTTTAGTAGTGAAATCTACTCAAAATGAGCTCAAATGTGAAATATAACTTTCAAATAAAGAACAAATTTCGATTGTTAAATTGTCAAAATAACAACAAATCTAGCAACCCATTTTGCAACTAAGAAGAAGAAGAAATCATAAGTGTAACCTACAATGGTTACAACTAAGAAGAAAAAAAGTTAATCAGCTTCTAGATACGTGGGACATGAATATAGAAAAGAAGAAAGTAGATGATATGATTCTGGATAGTCCGGGAAAAACGAAGAATATTCAGAATGACCCTAAATTATCTAGTGTACTGTTGACCCACTCCAAGTCCAAGAACGTCCAAGAGATGTATGCTAAGGAGCTGCATGACCTTCAACAAGTGACTAGAAGATGTTTGGAGAATCACTTAGAGGATTCATGCAGAGAATACCATGTTTGGAGTCTTGAAAATTGAAGAATCAAGACACTAAGATAAAATGTGCGACACGGTTTCACCAACCGTTGGCTACGGTTCTAGAGGGGCCCGAAGAGCTGAAGAAAATAAACTTATGGAATTCGGCATAGTTCAACTATGTGTTACAATTGGGGTTACTGTTGAGGCTACGGTTAGGCTTGGTGAGTTTTTTTTTGGAAAATTAACTTTGAAAGTTTTCCTATTTTACCCATTGGGTATTTATAATAGCCTAGGGTTATTTTATTAGCCACTTAACATATTTTAACATAAGAAAACTCTTGAGAGAGATTTGTAACCCCTTGGTTCGAGTTCGACTTTGGATTACCTATTTTCAAGACTTGGGTTCTCGAGGATAATCTTCTTCTCCTTTATTTATATCTAAGGTTTCTAATTTTTCGTTCTTGGGAGGCGATCGAATTTCAATTGTTGCTTGAGACGTTCACTTAGGGATCTAGATTTTTTTCTATACTTCATAATTTAGACTACTTTGATAATCTTAATAAAATCTATCATTAGTTTTGCTTCAATTATTATTATTTTTATATTTTTCTTTTTTAATCTTGGATAGTATCATTTGGTATCGGAGAGAAGGCTTGGGTATTGGTTAAAAATCCACATTCCCAGTCTTAAAATCAAGATCCAAATAGTAAAAAAAAAAGGCAAAAATGTATAGTTGTTATTTTCGACTAAACCTAGTCGAGTTGCTTGCAAATGTTCTTGAGTTTCAAATAAAAATCGGAAAAGAAATTATTGAAGTGTTCTTGTTGATTGTTGAGGAAATATTACTTTGGATAACAAAGATTCATTGTGGATTCTTGTTAAGGACGAACTAGTGCTAGTTCGCATTATATTGTTCTTAATATTTGAAACTGTCACACCTCTTTTTTATACCCGAGGGTTATATAAGGGAGTTTTTTCAATTAAAGTGACATAAATCGAAATGGAATTATTTTATTTATTTTTCAGAGTCGCCACTTGGAATAGTTTATTTGGTGTCCCAAGTCACCGGTTTATTTAAATCCCAAATCGAGGAGAATTTTGACTTTATTTAAAAATCTTCGAAATCAGAAAATCTAGGTAAGGAATTCTGTTAACCTGGGAGAAGGTGTTAGGCATTTTCGGGTTCCGTGGCTCGAGCACGGTCGCTTAACTATTAATAATTGGCCTAATTATCTGATTTAATACATGTTTTAAACCTAGTGTGCATTTTTAACTTTATAACCGCTTTTAATTATTTAAACCGATTTTAGGATTTATGGAATTATTTCTGGAAAAAGTTACGATTGTCGTACACTTGCCGTTTTGAAACACATTACAAACCACGCTACATGAAATGCACCTGCGATTTGTGACGCATTTATTTTATCATTATTATTCGAAATTATTATGATCGGGTCACATGAAATACACACCCGAATTTGAAAATTATGTATCATAACTATGTCATGGGAACCGTACCCACAATCATGATGATTTATTATTAACAGCGCGCCTAAAGCAACTAGCGCATTTGAATTTTTCTAATCTTTGAGATTATTGTCAAACTAGCCAGGTTTCACACTGAAAATATAGCTTTAAAATATGAACAGAAGACATGCACATCATGTGCCATACATTAATCTTCTAATACCTTATATGGCAATCAGACATAACTTAGTCATGACCAGCAACCCATTAATTTTGGTTAGGCATTTAACAAGAACTAGAATGAAGTGACTTAATCATATTTCCTCAAACTTAGAGCAGGTGACTAAATCACTACACATTGAGAGTCCATTAGTTTCATTTTACCTATTCAAATAATAACTGAATTCTAGCCTTTAAAGAAACAAAAATAGCTGAAATATTCTACTTCACCTTTAATAGACCGAAAGATCAAAATAGTGGTACATTAATGTTGAAGCAAATATGATCAATTCATTATACTAAAAAAAACTCACAAAAGTTTGATTGAAAACTTTATTCACATAATCCTATTCCAATAAGCATATCATTTTAAGATAACTCTAAACTCAGACACAAACTCGGCACGGAAGGCAGTCCGGTAAATGGCCATCGATCCATCTAAATCAATTCGGCAGTAGCTAAATTGTGAAAGTATTTGAGGCAGTAGTTTGAAAGACTACTAAACCAATTCACTCATTCAAATAAGTTGTACTCCATAAAAAAGAAATGAGAGAACTACTTGAAAAGAACATAACCAACTTTTATCTACAATTCTTTAAGATACATCAAACATCAAATTTCTAAAGCAGAGTCAAAAAACTATTAGCAAAAAAAATAAATTCATAAAGCCTAACATTAACATAGTAATTGCAATTAAAATAATGAAAAAAGCACAAAGATGATATTCAGCTGCTCCTAAGGTTAAATTTTTAAGTGACGTTCACTTTCAAGTTCAAAGACACAATCAGTTGAAAATTTGATAAGAACTGCTAAAACAATCAGTTGATGGCACAATACCAAACAATGATAAGAACTGCTAACTCCCATAAAGAAACACATAATTATCATTGCCATAGCATTGTAAGCATGTTCTCATTGAATCAAAAGGAGAATTAAATGATCGAGGAAGGGAAAAGTACCTTAACGACAGTAATAGGTCCTTAAAATTGCCAAATAATAGCTGATAAACCGCTACAAACTGGAGCTCAGTGGAACAAAACTTGAACAACAACTCAACTCAATCAACCTCCACATTTGAAACCCAAATCAACTAAGAAGTAGAAACTTAAAATATTTTAGCATTTTTTGTTAAAATTTCGGACATCAACCATCTTAAAGAAAGAAGTAATATTTTATATGTTCATGCTTTTTTCTGAAATCTCCGAAGAAATGAAAGAATCGAAAGGAAATTCCAAAAATCCTCAAAGTTTTCCTTTTGTCCTCTCGTTCTCTGTCCGTGGGTAAGGGTTGAGGAAGAAGAAGAAACAACTGGTTTGGTGGTGTGCTGAAGAAGAAGAGCTGTTAGGTTTTCTCCATTGAAGTCCGATTCTTCGGTCTTTAGAGGTTAAGATGAGAGTCTAGAAGAAAAAGGGAGGGGGTGCGCCGTTGCCCTCTATGAAAGAGAAAGGGGTCTGATTTTTCTTAATCTTCTGATGTTAGGTCTAAGTTCTTTTTTAGGTTTGGAAGGTGAGAGTCTTTTAATGAGAGGAGGTTCTGGTTGAGTTATGGGCTGGGGGATTCTAGCTACTTTGGGCCTCACAAAGAAATGGCCCAAAAGCAAATTAATGACCCAAATATTCCATCTTTTTTTCTTATTTTGCTTTTTCTTTGATTTAAAATTGTCACAACCCTAGTTCACCAACAGTGAACATGTCATGACGACACTTAGTCTCCGTGACCAGGTAAGTCTAACACTTGCGGAAACATAATAATTTCGGAAAAATAGAATACCATATTTAATTATCTAAAAAGAAAATTGTACTAAATGCCGCTCGGCATATACGACTCAATATATCAAGACTAACACAATCCCAAAACCCGGAAACTCACGGGAAAACACAGGCTACCGAAATGTATAGTGAGGCTCCAAACTCCAGAATATCTAACAAACGGAAGGAAAGAGAACTAAGTACTAAAGATAGAATAAGGAGGGAGACTCATCGGTCTGCGGACGCAGTAGATCTACCTCGAAGTCTCCGTAGTCCTCCTGCCTCACTGATAGTGCGCCTGAGTAGAGGTACCTAGATCTGCACATGAAAAACATGCACAAAAGAGGCGTGAGTACACCACAGCGGTACTTAGTAAGTGCCAAGCCTAACCTCGGTTGGGTAGTGACGAGGAAGGTTAGGGCCCTACTGAGGTTATATAAAATATAAAGATGGCAGGATAAGATAATCAGTGCAATTGAGAACCTACAGTAAGAATCTATACAGGATAATAAGAGTACAATAACGGAAATAATGATGAAAGCAAACCATAAGGAAAGTAAC